GGGCAGCCACTCAGCCGGTAAGCCTCTAAGTTTCTTTGATCGACCGAGGTGGTGCCATGTCAAGTATAGTCCGGGTTGGCCTCAATACCCCACTGTGTGATGATAAAGCCCAAGAATTTTATCGAGGTGACGCCAAAAGCACACTTGCTGGGGTTAAGCCTCATGTCGTACTTCCTCAGCGTAACAAAGGCTTCGACATTTCTTCCCATCTAGTGCCTTTACACTCTTCACAACCATGTCATCCACATAGGCTTCGACGTTTCTTCCCATCTAGTGCTAGAAAACTTTGTTCACAAGCCGTTGATAGGTGGCTTCGGCATTATTCAAGTTGAAGGACATGACTTTATAGCAGTAGGTTCCATGCTTAGTGATGAATGAGTTCTTCTCCTTGTCCTTGGCATGCATCTTAATCTGGTTGTATCTAGATAAGGCATCTGTGAAGCTTAATAGCTCGTACTCTGTGGTGGTGTTGACGAGGTGGTCAATCCTCGGCAAAGGAAAGCTAACTTTGAGGCAGGCTCAATTGAGGTCTGTGAAATCAATATAGATCTGCCATTTCCCATTAGCCTTCTTAACCATGACCACATTGGACAACCAGTTAGGGTAATGTACCTCTCGAATGAAGCCAACGTCAAGTAGCTTATCAACCTCCTCTTCGATGGCTTTCCAATGCTCCAGTGCAAAGTTCCTCTTTTTCTGCTGAACTGGCCTACAACTTGGGTCCACACTCTGCCTTGAGTAATGACCAAAGGGTCAATTCCGGGCATGTCAGTGGAAGACCAAGCAGAGACGTCAGCATTAGCTTTAAGGAAGCTTACCAGTTCAGAAATGGTGTTTGGAGGAAGGTTAGACCTGACGCGCACTGTATTCTCAGGCTCGTCCTTGTCTAGGGGTAATGAAACAAGGTCCTCAGCTTGCTGGTTCGTTCCTAAGGTCGAGCCCCTCCAACGACAAAGCTTCTTTATTTTTGCCTATTAGCGCTGCCACATAGCATTGTCTGGCTGTTTGTCAATCCCCTTGAACAACTTTGACGCCGTGCTCAATGGGAAACTTTAGGGTGAGGTGGTAGGAAGAAATGGCCACCTTGAGTGCATGAAGGGTCAGCCTACGGATGATGGCATTGTAGGGGGAGCTTATCTTCACGACCAAGATCTCGGCCATCCTCGCTAATTGCCGAGGCTTTACTCCTACCGTTATTGGTAGGGTGATTCTTCCCTCCAGTTTGATGAAATTTTAGGAGAAGTCGACGAGTGGCACGTCGGTCGGCTGCAACCGCTCTGGGGTCAGTTTCATCTTTCCCAAAGTATCATGAAAGAGGATGTTGGCTAATGACCCACTATCGATGTGGATCCTCTTCACCATGAAGTTGGTAATGGTCATCGACACCACCAATGCGTCATCATAGGGCACCGAGACCCCCTTCAGATCGTCATCCAAAAAGGTGATGCCCTCGTATTTCTTTGGCTTCTTGGGGCCGGCCCCTGGATGTTGAGTTGCTTGGTGTAGGCCTTTCGGGCTGAGGTTGTGGCTCCACCTGAGCTTATGCCCCCCATTATGACATCAATGACCCCGGCCATGTTGCTATTATGTTGTTGTTGCTGATGTGAGGACAAGGCACCGGTGTGGCCCCCCACATATTCTTTCAAGTGACCACGGATGATGAGAGACTTGGTTTCATTTTTTCAAGTCGTAGCAATCCTTAGTGTCATGGCCAGTGCTGCGGTGGCACTTGCAATACTTCTTTGGATTACCCCTCTTGGGATTCCTCTTCATTTTTTTCGGCCACTTCATGTACTCCTCTTTCCCTACTTGCATGAGGATTTGCGTTCGAGTAGAGTTAAGTGGCGTATATTTGCTGTAGATTAAGGCTGGTGGCTTCTTGTTGCCATCTTTGTTGTTGTTATTGTTGTCGTGGATGTCTCTACTTCCTCTTCTTCTCTAAACTCCCACGGTTGGGATCGGCCTTGCTCTCCAGACGCTTGCCGGTCGAGGCCTCCTTGGTGGTGATGTACTTTTGTGCCTTCTTCAAAAATTCTGCCTTGTTTTTGGACAGTGTCTTGGCGATGGATCACTTGAGGGGTTCAAGCTGGAGGTCGTTGATTGCTGCATGCATTGAAGCCAAGGGGTCGAGGTATCGGACCTCGAGCTACCATAGACTCTCACCATGCTTCTATTGGATGGACATGAGGGAGATGACGGTCTTCTAGCACCGCCGGCTATTGATGAAGTGGGAGAGGAAAAGATTGGTGAACTGTTCCCACGAGATGATGGAGCGAGGAGTGAGTCCCAAGAACCATTGGCGGGCTGCCCCCTTGAAGGTCACCTGGAAAGCTTGGCACGTCACGGTGTTAGAATATCTATATAGGAGCATGAGCGCTCGGAAGCTATCCAGGTGGTCGTCTAGGTCAGTGGTTCCATCATACATTTCCAATGTGGGGTTTTTGAAGTGAGGTGGGAGAGGCTCCGAGGTGATGTTGTTGGTGAAGGCATCCATTCTATTGGACGAGGGGTTCTAACTGGTGGAGGCATCACCTCGGCCCTCCTTGACTTGTCGAAGTTCATCTTGCATGATGCCGATTTGCACTTGTAGGTCGCCAATTCTTGTCAATGGGGGCTTGGAACTCATCTTTGTCCTCTCGAATGCGGAACGGGTCAGACCGGTTCCCAGAGTACTTTGACGCGGGCATGTCCTGGTTCCTTTGGGCCCGTTGATCATTGAGGAGTTCACGGAGATCTGACACATGAGAGGGAGAGGCATGGTGTTGGCCTCCAGCCCTTAGAGGAAGACTGTAGTTGTCAAAGCGCCTGCCTTCGTTCTGAGGGCTCTCCACTTGATAGTAGCGGTCGTAGTCCCGAAAATTGTCACGGGATCTGACTAGATCACCCCCTATCGGCTGGGGAGGCAAGAGGTCTTCAACGGCTCGCTAGCATGTCGGCTACTGCTATTGGACATTGAGGGGTCGACTCTTTTAGGTCCAATGGGGCATTGGATCAGTGGAGCTTGGGAAGAGCGTCCACTGTGATGCCCCTAGCTGCTAGCTCCCAGTGGGGTGGCTACCCTATGGGTGGCCTCCTGATGAGCGCCCCACCTCGTCTAGTCTTTGAGTAATATTGTCGAGTCGGTCGAGGACCATCTTGAATTGGTCTATGGTGACTAGGTTCTGAGCATTTTGAGTGTAATCTTGGTTATCAGCCATTGTGTTGGAAGCTTGGTAGTTTTTTGAAGCAAGTCTTTACTTAGGGGAAGCCTTAGTAGTTGTTCTCACAAACGGTGCCAATTGTTGCTGCCAAGGTTGGGCCGAGGGCAACAATGTAATTATGCTTCCGTAGACAAGGGCTAATTGAGTTCGAGGGTTGATAAGTCAAGGGCCTGTAAGTCCAATCTGTGAAGGAAGAAGCACGTCAGAGGCCCTGGGTTTTATCTTAGAGGCAGAGACTCCGACGGTCATGTTAGTAAGTGTGTAGCAAGGGGTCGGACAAAGCTTGAGAGAGATAGCTCAGACAAGGTCACCAGGATGCTAGAGAGCTTGAGAGTAGAAAAGACTAGGGGTGAGCATTCAGTTTATTGGATTAAAAACTGAACCAAATAAACTGAAATTTTAAAAACCGAATTAAAAATATAAAAACCAAAACCGAAATTTAGAAAAATCCAAATATCCGAAACCAAAATTTTGGGTTCGGTTTTTGGTAGACCTGGCAATCGGGTTGGGTGGGTCGGGTTCGGGTTGGGTTAAGGTATTTCGGGTCGATTTTGGGTTGGGTTGTCAAATGCTAGATCCTAACCCTAAATGTTCGAGTTAGGGTTGACCCATGGGTCAATTCGGGTCATCCTAAAAAATAATTGAAATTTAAAAAAATAAAGAAAAATTACATGAAAAATGTCAAAATTAAAAGAATTAACCTTAAAATTCCAAATATAAAATAAAAACTTGAACATTTAACAATTTAAAGAGTAAACAATAAAAAGTACATACTAAATAGAAAAAATTAAAGAGTGGAAACTTCTAGCATGCATAAATAATCCCAATTAGACTTGACAGTCGGGTCAATGGGTTGACCCATGACCCAACCCAACCCAACCCAGTTTTTCGGGTCGGGTCGGGTCATTTTCACATTCGGGTTGCTAAATATGAGACCTACCCCTATTTTTCGGGTCGGGTTCGCGGGTTGGGTCAACTTTTTGCCAGGTCTAGTTTTTGGTTATTTTGATTAAAACTGAATTTTAATAATATATATTTTATTATATATATTATATATTATGAAATCGAATTTCAGTATATTATATATTATATATTACATATTACATTTTATATATTATATATTATATATAATAATAAAAAGTTTAGTTAATTTGGTTAACCGAAATTCTAATTCAAAAAACCGAAACCGAAAACTGAAATAGCCGAACCAATTTAACCAAAAACCAAAAAACCGAACTAAAAAAACCAAAATCGAAATTTTCTTAACCAAATTATGCTCACCCCTATATAAAAGACAAGATAACTTTCCCTAACGCCACTTATTTATACTTGAGCTTGCCTAGAATTTGTTAGCAGCGGATGACCCAAGATGCCATCCCAACAATGCCACATGTCAAAATCCCATGCCTGCCATGTACGCCTACGTCAAATATCTGCCACCCACAATAATCTTATCCACATTCTAGTCATGACTAGATTGTTGATCACGTTCAACTCAATTTAAATCATTTTGCCGAGTATGCAGGGTGGTGAGAAAAACTTTGGCTGCCCAAGTTAATGGAGGCCACCCTTCATCCACATCAACAATCATAAATGAAATGAACCTGGGGATAGTGAACCGCTTAACTTGTTCTATATAAAATCTACATAGGAATATGTATGTATGAGAATTCTGATTTTCCAACGTCCATGTATGGATTTAATGGGATTGATTGCCATGTTTCCGAGGATATTATAAGGAGACCCAACATGTGGCCGATCAACACCCAGGTTATGCTATGGGGCCCACGGCGATGGGGATTCACAGAACTAACATTTCACATTATTTGTGAGTACAAATCCCCTGGAAAACCTTTATTTCCTGATTCCATAATTCCATCGTTAAGAAAAAAGAAAAAGTACAAATCCCCTGGCTAACTGTCACTACATAACACATTCTTATTACATGATATTATTCAGAATCTCCAGAAAAAATCTCAAACACTAGCGAGAGAGAGAGAGAACCACAACTTCACAATAAAAATCAGCATTAAGAAGAAGAAGAAGAATGCGTGAGGACGAAGTGATGTAAAAGAAGCAATAACACTGGCAATTGTTGACTGTAGTATCGTTACTGATCAAGCTTGCTCCCGGCCACATCCACCACGAACCTGTATCTCACATCGTTTTTTTCCAACCTTTCCAAGGCTGTATTTACATAATCCATCTTCACCACTTCGATCTGCGAAGTCAGCCCCTTCTCCTTGCAGAATTCGAGCATCTCTTCTGTTTCTTGCATGCTGCCTATGAAGCTCCCCGCGATCGTCTTCCTCCCTTCAAGGTACATACAATACACGAATTTCATTTTAACATTTTCAGTAAAATTAAGAAAGCTGATGAAGTAGAGAGTATAGAAGATAGGTAGGCCCACCTAGTATCACCACGGGAGTAACGAATTGCAGAGGATTTGCAATGACGCCGAGCAAGATCAACTTTCCATCAACCTTCAAGAGAGAGAGGTAAGGTTCGAGAGGATGAAAAACAGGGACAGTGTTGATGATGTAGTCAAGGCTATCAGCGGCCTTTTGCATCGCTTCAGCATCAGAGCTTACGAGGTAGGCATCGGCACCCAGATGCTCCAACGCTTCCTCTCTCTTCTTGTCGGAGGAGCTAATCACAGTGACATGGTGACCCATCGCCTTGGCAATCTTCACACCCATGTGTCCAACCCCCCCGAGACCCAGAATTCCTCCTCTCAGCCCACTCTTCTTGAATCCAAAATGGCTCAACGGGCTATACACTGTCAACCCAGCGCATAGTAGCGGGGCCGCTTGTTCTGGTGCCAATCCATCTGGTATTTTCACCACGAATCTAGCATGAACACCCCAAAGCAGCAGGGTTAAAAGAAATTATCAACCTTCCATTATGGGGTGGAACTAAAAACTGAAAAGGAGGAAAGAAAGAGAACAGTAAAGCGATTCTAGATTCTGTTTCTTTTACTTTTGATCAACGACCATGGCGCCAGCGAACCCTCCTTGGGTGGGTTTACCATCGGGGTGGACATCATTATAGGACCAAATCCTCTTGTTACAGTACTGCTCGATGTTCGATTTACAAGGAGAGCACTCTCTGCAACACCCAACTATGACGCCAACTCCGACGCGATCACCGGCTTTGAGCTTGGTCACACCAGACCCAACCTCCACCACTTCACCCACGACTTCATGCCTTCAAAGTTAATTCAGTTATTTACAGAACAGAATAATCGAAACATACAAACAAAACACAATTTAGAGAAACAAAAGACAAGCAATGGGACGGTCGGAGTAATATATAATTACATACATACCCAGGAACCATGGGGTAGTTGGACATTCCGAGGTCATTCTTGAGTTGGTGGAGATCGGTATGACATATGCCACAACATAGCACCTTGATGAACACATCCTCCGGACCTGTGTTTCTGTTTGTTTTCACCACCACAGAATAAACATAGATAAAGAAGAAGAAGCTTTAGCAGACAAAAGAGCAGACTGGGTTGTGAAGGAAAATTAAAATAGAATATATTTATCAATGGAACTTCAAAGCAGGGTTTGGAGGGTTTTGTCAAAATTAAGAAAGCTCTACCTTAGACCGTAAGTGTAAGGCGATAGGAACCCTGTTGGGTCTCTTGCTGCCCAACCCACCGTAGTTCTCTCCTTTTCCAGACTACCCATTTTTGTGATGAGAGAGAGAGAGGGAGGGAAAAGGTTTCGAGTTCTACCGCTCCTGTTTATTGGAGATTCGGAACTCGGAAGGATGCAGGACGGGGAGACGAGCCGGAGGAATCCCCTAATTTATAAGGATGTCGAATGAAGAGTAGAGACTGAACGTACGTAAAGCGGATTTATACGCAACGGTAGGTAAATGTGATGCGTCATGCGAACTCTGCGTCCTCCAGGCTCCAACTTGTGTACTGCTAAAGTGCCAAGTATGGTCGAGTGGTCCCGCTACCAGTAACGGTGATTGCAGCACTTGACCCACATCAGTCGGTTACCACCTACTCCCCAAAAGTCAGCTAAAATTGAATGATCAGAACCACCAAACCGCTGACATTTGGGACAATCAGTCAGTGTTTGGTTTGAAAGAAAAAAAGGTAGGGAAAGACAGGAAAACCAAAAGTTATAAGCCTTCCCCGTCCCCGCTGACGGTAACAAGGTTCCCCATCCCGGGGATCCCATTCCTGTAATTTAATAAAATAATTAAATTTTATAATCTTATTAAGAAAGATTTAAACATATTTTTAAAAATATTAATATATAAGTATATATATATATAAACATATGCATATATATATACATGTATATTAGTGGGATCCCATGGGGTGGGGATTGGATCCCCGTAGGGCGGGGAATGCTTTCCTTGTCCCCGATCTGTTTTCGCCAATGGGGATGAAAATTTTGCCAATCCCATCTCCACAGAAGAAATTCATCCCATCCCCGCTCTATTTGAGGCCCCATAGGGATCGGGGAAATAGGAAAAATTGCCATCCCTATGAATACTAGGGTAATGTGTATTCACTTATAAATCTAGTCTTTCTAGCTGGACCAGGGATGATGTGAACCTGAATCTCCTCCAAACAAAAAACACGTCTCAATATGTTCCAACAAAAAAAAAAATTGGAATCCATTAGGCTATGTTTGGTTGTAGTGCAAATTTATTTGTACTAGTACAAATGCAAAAAAAATGCAAATTTTTGTTTAATTTTATTTTGGACTTTACTTTATTTTGCTTCATGTCTTAATTTACTTCATTTGTACTCCAATCAAACAAAATAATCTAAAATTTGAAACAAAAATAGGTCAAAATTTACACTCAAATCATTTGCACTACCATGGTTTTGCATCAATGCAAATTTATTTACATTACAACAAAACATAGCCTCATGCATGACATGTGTGGATACAAATCATGTTGGAACCTGTTTGGAGCAGTCACTTTATGATGGTTTTGGAGAGTAGTGATGTAAGGTAGGTATTGACTTTTTTTGTGTTACTAATGTTAAAAGATATATATATATATATATATATATATATATTATATATGCATGTATGCTTAGTTTTTCATCAATTTTGTTGCCTAATCAACTTGTTTATCCTGAATTTAAGGACCTATCTCGTCATTTATCTTTCAGGGTGGTGTTTTGTCACATTGGACTAAATTCTTGTTTTGCATTCAACCAACTTCTATCTTACAAGTTGTAAAGTGCTTAACAACAATATTGTTGACATATTTTTAGGCCTTGTTTGGTTCGTGGGAATAGGTCTGGAATTGGAATTGGAATGGGCTATTCCGATTCCAATTGTTTGATTGAATGGAATCAGAACCTCATTCTCATTCCTGTTAGAATGACATTCCCCCATTTAAGGGAGTGACCATTCCCCCATTTAAGGGAATGACCATTCCCTGCTCCSTTTTTGTGAATGAAATCTCATTTCTACTGATTTTAATTTCTATTCATATTCCTGTCTGAATCAAACAAACTATGAGAATAGACCATTCTAATTTTAACTGCAAACCAAATGGACCCAAAAATCTTAATTTCAGAGTTGGTGTTTTAAACATAGATATGTTAAAAGGAACACTTAGTGGCAAACCATATTACCACGTATGAATAGAAAATCAAACACATAATATGGGAAAAAATCCAAAATAGGAATATAATGAATTCAAGGCGGCATACTTGAAAATAGAAATTCCTATCGTTGACAAAAAGAGAAAATGTAAAACTCTATCATTTTGTTATGATTATGTTACGTGCTTTAGGAGAATTCACCCCTAAAAACTAGTTGTTAGAGGAAGAGAACCCAAGCACATATATACCCCACAACAACATCCCATTCACCTATGTGGGATACCTCACATAAGCATCCCATACTACCAGTTGTTAATAATAAACTTTATATGAACGCCTTGTAGACTTGTAGTTGCTGCTATATCAAATAAAAAATAAATACGTTAGTTGGGCCTCATGTATATGGAACAATGATGTATTCACTAATGTATCCAAGTTGGCAAATTTGTATTTAATTAGCAACATATATAAAATTCATTATATATTTAGGCCAATCCGTCGGTTGATCGAATTGGTTGTAAGGCATCCTTCATACTAAAAAATAATTTTGCACCATCTTAAAGTACATACTTCTGCCTTTTTTATGATGGATGTCAAGGTCATGCCACTTTTTTATTGTACATATTTATATTTATAATCTTTTCAAACTGAGCTTTAGAAATAAAACTCCTTATATCCAGGAGTTATAGATTAAGTTGTGAAAAAGGAAGGCATTACATTTTGTGTATCAATGAACGTAGGGGCCCAACGCCGCATACTATCACCAATAAAAAATGTTTTAGGGCAAAAGAAGAAAAAAAAATAAAAATCTTTGCAAATATATAGGCTTATTGAACGGTTTGTCCTTTAAATTAGAGGTCCGTGGGCCGTGATAGGTTGTGGGCTGTCATGAATTACAGTATCTATATGGCCCGCCATTGATCCACCTTATATATACACCACGAATTGTGTTTTGCATCAATGTGTACTTGCTTTTTCTATAAAAAAAGTGTCACGTTCTATACTTGATTACTATAATCGTTACCTACTACAAATTTGTATTCAACCACCACGAATTATATTAGTTGTTACAATTTTGATATTAAATTCGTACAAGACGATGTGCTGAACTGCTAATTGCCTACCTAATAAAGGCATTGACCAAAAGAGCGTCCACATCTACAGTCCAGTTCAAGATATTCTTAATTACTTTAACTATTTCTCTAAATGTTTCCTTGAGTATTTATTTGATGGTTTACACCCCACATAAACCAATAAAAATTGTATTTTTTGAGTATATATCTAAATTATAATCATTTGAGACTTGGATTTAATTTTTTTTATTAATTTTAAGATTTATTGACTTTTCCCTATGTATCTTAACATTTTTTACTATAAAGCATATTTGGTATACACCTTGTCAAATAGAGAGAGATAAAACGCTTTTCATAAAAAAGACCTTACACAAGTAATGTATAAAAAAAAAAAAAAACACCCTAAACAAGTATTGTATCAAAAAAAAAAAAAAAACACCTTACCCAAGTGGTGGTTCGTGCCAACTCAGATTTTTACTAATTCCAGGTAAAGAGAGATGACCCAAACGTTAAAATATTTTCTAATTATTTTTATTCTTTTTTTCTGATAATCCCTTAATTATTTATGTATGTACTTAGAGGTGTCAATCGGACTGGGTTTGGTCCAACCCGATCCAGTCCAATGTGAGTCCACTTACAAATGGACTAGACCCAATCTAGTCCAAATCTAATACAAACTAAGTCCAATCCAATCCAATCCATTAAAATGTAAATGGAGTGGATTGGATCCACACCAAATCGAACGAAATATCAAAAATTATATATAAAAATACAGAACATATAAAAATTATAAATATATATTAAAATGAAGAAATCTGAAAATTAAAAGTGCTTTCATAAAAGTGTTTTTGTAAAAGTACTTTAATGAAAGTACTTTCGTAGAAGTGCTTTTGTAAAAATGCTTTCGTAAAAGTACTTTTATGAAAGTACATTTGTATAAGTGCTTTTGTAAAAGTACTTTTGTATGTGCTTTTACAAAAGTACTTGAGTACTTTCGTAGAAGTGCTTTTGTAAAAATGCTTTCGTAAAAATACTTTTATAGAAGTACTTTTGTATAAGTACTTTTATAATAGTACTTTGATAAAAGTTCTTTCATAAAAGTGTTTTTATAAAAGTACTTTCATAAAAGTGCTTTTGTAAAAGTGTTTTTATAAAAGTACTTTCATAAAAGTGTTTTTGTAAAAATGCTTTTATAAAAGTACTTCCATAAAAGTGCTTTCGTGTAAAAGTACTTGTGTAAGTGCTTTTATAATAGTACTTTGATAAAAGTTCTTTCATAAAAGTGATTTTGTAAAAGTGTTTTTATAAAAGTACTTTCATAAAAGTGCTTTTGTAAGTGTTTTTATAAAAGTACTTTCATAAAAGTGCTTTCGTAAAAATGCTTTTATAAAAGTACTTCCATAAAAGTGCTTTCGTGTAAAAGTACTTGTATAAGTGCTTTTATAATAGTACTTTGATAAAAGTTCTTTCATAAAAGTGATTTCGTAAAAATGCTTTTATAAAAGTACTTCCATAAAAGTGCTTTCGTGTAAAAGTACTTTTATTAAAGTGTTTCGTAAAAGTGCTTTTATAAAACTGATTCTGTAAAAGTGCTTTCATAAAAGCACTTTCGTGAAAGTGCTTTCGTAAAAGTATTTTTGTAAAAGTGCTTTTGTAAAAGTACTTTTCATAAAATTACTTTTATAAAAGTGTTTTCATAAAAGTAATTTCATTAAAGTGATTTTATGTCGGCTTCAGTTTTGACCGGTTTCAAATTGGACAAAGCTTGGCCTCATGATTGGATTATTGAAATTTTGGTTTAGGTCCAGTTCAGACCAATAAGAATATGGATCAATTTATTTTAGATTGGCCCAATCCAATAATTATATGGACCATCCAAATCCGATTTGATAAGGTTTAGATCAGATTGGATCCAACCCAAAACCGGCCAATTGACACCCCTATCTGTACATGATGAGATTGAGACCCACTACAGTGAAATGTGGGGACACCAATCACATCCAAATTTGTTCAAAAAGTATAGGACAAATTTCTTAAAGTACCCCTATGGTTTAGGAAATTGACTAACTCTACCCTTATTATTTACGTATTATCTTAAAGTATCCTTAATTTTTTAACAATTGTCTAAAACCTTCCTTGCTATAAATCTGAAATCTGAA